GGCGCCCCTGCTCCCCGCGTCCAGGCAGGGGTCGCGCGAGCGGCGAGAGGGGGTACTTCCAGGCAGAGGCCGGCCGGACCTCAGATCGCGGGAGCCAGCATCCATATACGCGCCGAGTACCTCGCCCCTCGCGGCTGCGCGGAGCGTGCGCAAACTCCGCCCCCCGAACCTCGCAGAGCGAGACCGATTATCCCATTGTACAGATGCATAAACTGAAGCCTACAGAAGACACGCGATTAGTCAGTGGCAGAGCCAGGATGGAACCCAAACCTCGCACCTCCAGGGCGTGCTTCGGTTCTTCCACCGCTGCTTCCCTACATCCGTAGGGAGCGTGGAGCCCTGGATGCATGCCCGGCTCTGCCCGCCTTGACCGGCTGTGATTTCAGGCATACTCCCTCGTACCCTGACCCGGGTCCCAAGCTTTGCACGACTAAAATGGAGGCGACCCGTTCTGAGGAATCAGACCAGCGGATGCTTTGGGAATAGGTTTCGGTTCCTGTGGGGACTCGTCTGGACTGGACACTGTTGCCCTGATCCCCACACGTCTCATCCCAAGAGCAACTCTGGAAGACCCCAGAGCCCCTGCTCTGGAGGCTGTCGTTTCTTTCCTTCCAGAATTGTGCTGTTATGTTGTTGATTTTCCCATGTGTCTGCCACACCTTCCCCGCCCCCGTTCCTCGCTGCTGCTCCGCGTCACCGCCGAGCCATCGCTGAGCAGAGCCACTTGAAGCCCTTTGGCTGCCCCGCTGGCTGGCACTAACCCTCAGGGTGGCACCCCCTTGCCAGGCTGGGGGGTGGAGCAGGGCTGTTTACCCCTCTGCAGCCTCTTCTTCCTCCACCTGTTCCCCTCCATTTCCTTTTCCTCTTCCTTCTGCCCCTTTCTCCCTTCTTTTTCCATTTCTCCCTTTCCCTCCTCCTGCCCATTTTCTCCTTCCTCCTCCTCCTCCTCCCCCCAGTCCTGTTGCTGCATCTCCTCCTGCCCTTGACACACAGTTGGCATCAGGTCCACTTCTTTGTTTCCATCCCACTTCCCCCACCACAGCAAATACACTCCCGGGTACACCCTCTCCTGTGAGGCATGGCTTCACCCCATGGAAGTGTGTCTGTGTGTGTGAGTGCCCCCTCCATCCTCAGCTCCCTCCTCCAGGTACCCCTGCAGGGAGCCAGATATAGAGCAGGGCCACTCAGCAGGTCCTCTGCAAACACTTCTTCAGGGGCATTTCCACCTCCTCCTAGCAAGGCACCAGCTTCCCTGCCCCCACTGTCCACTCACCCAATCCACAGGTACGAAGTAGGACCCTGAGGGACACAGTGGTGGACTTGTCAGTGGTGAGTTTCTGACCTCGTGGAACACACAGTATAGAGAGGTGGAGAGATGAGCCACCAAAGATTCACCACAAACAGTGTGGCATGGCATGGCACAGGGGCAAGGGCCAGGGCAGACTCTCCTGCTTCCCGGGCCTCAGAAGACCCTACTTGGTCTAGTCTAGTGTGACAGATGACAGGGTCCTTTCTGACAGGGGTCCAGAATTGACTCCAGGCAGGTGGGGAGGCCATCTAGGGCTTCCTGATCCCTGGGCACTTATACCAGGATCTGTGTTCAGCACTTAGTGGAGGATCTCAGAAAGGTTAGGAACTTCTTGTGGCTGATTGATTGTATTTTCCAAAGATAGTTACAGCAATATATAGCTCACCCCAATTATTCTTTCTTGCAGTACGGCATTAAATGACAGGGTCTATGTTTCCTCCCCTTGAACCTGAGCAAACTTCTGTGACTGCCTCAACCAATGAAGAATGGCAGAAGTGACACTGTGACTTGCAAAGCTAAGTCATATAAGGCAGTATGACTCTGACCAGCTCAGTCTCTCTCTGCCTCAGTCTCTCTGTGTCTGTCTCTGTCTCTCTCTCTCAATCCACTCTCCCTTGGAACTCAGCCACCACATTAGGAGGAAGCCCAGGCCTCGTGGAGAGGCCATGTGAAGGTGTTCCAGCCAACAACTCCAGCTCTGGTCCCGAACAGGCCCCTGATATGTGACAGAGTGAACCTTCAGATGATTCAGCCCCTAGCCTCGGAGCTGCCCCAGCTGATGCCAAGTGGAGCAGAAATGAGCTGTCTCAAACTGCAAAAAATTGTTGTTGTTTTAAGCCACCAATTTTTTGTGTAGTTTGTTATGCAGCAATGGATAACTGGAATGCTTGTCCAAGGTCATACAGCTTGGAAGTGGCAGTGCTGGGAATGATTTGAACCCAGGGTCATCCAATTTCAGAGCCTGTTGAGTGGTATCTGGCTCAGGAAGACAGTGTGTGCTATATAAAGCTCTACTCAAGAAGGAATGAAGTAGAGGAGGGTATAGCTCAGTGGTAGAGTATATGCTTAGCATGCACAAGGTTCTGGGTTCACTCCCCAGTACCACGATATAAATAAACAAATACCTAATTACACCCAAAAAAATAATAAATAAAAAAATTTAAAAAGGCATGAAGCATTAAATGATTGTAACAATTATGTATCAGATTGTAAGAAATGAAGATGCTGATTACCCAGTGGGAAAATGGTTTATTTTCCCTTTCAAGCAGCTAAATTGACCAACATGATGGAAACTGAATGGAGACTAAATTCTGGAAAGCTCCAAAGAGGATGTGATTTAAAAAAAAAAAAAACTAGAAGTTTTGTTCCTTATACGAACCACTGGCTGAAGGAGAATTAAAGAAATTAGTTGGGGAACCTACTTTAAATAGGGTAGTCAAGGAGGCCTCTCTGAGGAGGTGACATTTAAACTGAATTCTTCAAAGAGCCAGAGTAAGAGAATTCTAGGCAGAGGGAACAGCAAGGGCAAAGACCCTAAAGGAGGACCAAGCTTGATAAATGTTTGAGGGAGTGAGAAGGTCAATGTGACTGGCCCTTGATGAGGGATAAAAGGGAAAGGAAAAGACAGAACTGGAGTGGTCAGCGGGGCCCAGGCATGCCCTCAACAGGGGCTTTATTATCAATGCAGTGACAAGCCATTGGGACTTTGCAAGGAGGGGCATGATAGAATCTAATTTATGTTTTAAATAGATCACTCTACCTGATGGCAAGAGGATGCTAGAAGGTGGATTAAGGGGCTATTGAATGAGACTCAGAGAGATAACAGTGACTTGGATGAGGGTGGAGGCAGTGGGGAGGGAAAGAAGAGCGTAGTCTTGAGATCTGCTCTAGAGCTTTGAAGAGCCAGACACCCTTGGTTGGAGGTGGGGGATCAGAGAAATGAAGTCAAGTTCAGCTCCCAGGTTTCTGGCTTTAGTTACCAGATAAATGATGGCACCATTGAAGAAAACAGCTTGGAGGTGGTCAAGGGTAGAGAGACCAGGCTTGGAGAGAAATGGAGAGCTCTCTCTGGACACGTTCAGTTTGAGATGTCTATAGAGAGGTCCACATGAAGAACCCATCTAGGCCACTGACCTATGAGTGTGGAGCCCAAGGAAGCAGTTAGTCTGGAGTCACAAAGAGTCATCAGCATTTAGACAATATTTAAATTCACGAGTCCAGGTGAGGTCACACAGGGAGAGAGTCTAAAGAGAGATGAAAAACTGATCTAGAACCAGGAAGTTAAGAATTCCTGGGTCTATCACAAACTAGTGGTTACCAGTGCGGAGAGGGGAAATACAGGGGTAGGGGAGTAAGAAGTACAAACTATTCTGTATAAAATTAGCTACAAAAATACATTATACAACACAGGTAAATATAGCCATTATTTTATAATAACTATAAATGGAGCACAACCTTTAAAAATTGTGAATCACTACATTGTACACCTGTAACTTACATAATACTGTACATCAACTATACTTCAATTTTTAAAATTAAAAAAGTTAAATTAAAAAAAAATTTAAAGATTAATAGTTGTTACCTCCGAGAGTGGATGAGATTGGGAGAAGACAGATAAAGGGAGCTGTCAATAATTACTCCAAAAACATCTATCATTAATTGTTTGAATCTTATTAAATGATACTATAGCCACATAATATGTCTTTAATAAAGGAGGAGATTAAAAAGAAAAGAAAGAAGAAAGAATTCCTCATTCTAGAGAGTGGGTGAAAGAGAAGCCAGCCACAAAAGACAAAGAGGGAGGCCAGTGAGGGAGGAGGGAAACCAAGACAGCGTGTTGTGTGTTGTCAGGAGTAAATGTACCAAGAGGGGGGACTGCTGGGTCAAGCAATGGAGAAGCTGGATGAAGATGAGAGCAGGAAAGTGCTCCCTGCAGAGCGACATGGAGGCTGCTGGGGACCTTGACAGGAGCAGGGGTGGGGGGATAGATGCCAAAAGCGGCAGATTGAAGAGTGAACAGGAGGTAGCAGTGGAGTGTAGGGAGAAGAGGATGGAGCAGTCGTGGAGGGGACTGTTGTGTCGGGGTGGGGACACACAGGAGATGGAAGAGGCAAAGATAGAGACAGGGCAGGAGAGGCAGAAAGGGACTGATCCAGGGAGCAGGACTGGCTTTCCAAAAGAACAGGGACCCTTCCTCCATTATACTCGAGGGAAGGCAGAAGAGATGGGTGAGAGGCAGGTGGTCTGTCGGGAAGCTGAGGGAGTGACTGATAATGGCTTCTGCTTTCTCAATGAGGAATAAAGTCTCTGGCTGAGAGTGAGGAGACGAAGGAGTGGGAGTTATGTGAGGAGGGCAAAGCCTGTCGGTAAGAGTGGTCTGAGCCTGGACACCAGACATCCCAGGGTGTGTGAGGAGGGTACGTGATGCACCCACCCAAAGTGAAGCCACAGCCCAGCAAACACCAGGTGTAATCTAGCCATTTTCTCTTAACGAATTCAGGTTTATTTCGCATAGCTGAAACCGTACCGCATACCCAGTTTTATACCCTGCTTTTTTCCACTTTAGTAGCAGAAGCATTTCCCCATGCATTTATAAGCTCTTAGCAAACATCACTTTTAATACTTAGAAATAAGTATTCAGAGTGGATGTTCCATGGGTCACTTAACCTTTCCCCCTTTTATTGGACAGTGAAATTGTTTCCTGGCAATGACTTCTGCAGCTCTGAAAGAGGCGGTGTGTGGTCCGGGGGAGAAAGGAGAAGGCAGGTTGCAATGCAGAGCTGGGACGTTCATCACTCTGGCTCCTAGAATCTCGTCATGGAAGCTTTTTAGAGGCTAATTCCATGGCAATTGGAGTTGCTGCCAGGTCACATTCTGAATTTTCCTGGACACAAGGACAAGGAATGGACAGCAGGGCGAATCTCACTGGTTTCTCAAAGTGCCCTAAGGTTCAGGAAATGAGCATGGAGAAAATAGACTTGGGAGAGGGGCCCTAAAAGCAGCAAGGACCAGATGTGTGACCCCCTGAGCTGTGTATAGTTCAAACACATATTGCAATAGCCATGTTTGAGGTGGCAACAGGGCTCCACACTTGCCTGTTTGCCCCATAATACAAGTCCTTGTGGTGTCCCACCCTTCCTGGAGGGGGCCTTGCCCCAGGAGACCTGGCCGTGGGGAGAGGATCTGGGGACCCAAGTCTTTTCCACCACGGCCAGCAGAAGTGGGGTCTCTTTCAGCTGTGTGAAGACAGAGTGAGCCCCCAAGGGAGTGGCTCCACCAGAGGTAGGGCGACATTTGGTGGGCAGATTTTTTCCAAGCGCTCCTGCCCTGAGTGGAGGCCACTTGCTCTGGGACTGCTGAAGCCCCTTCCAACCTTGAGGTTCTGTTTCTCAAGAGCACAGCATTCACTGAAGTCCCACGATGAGCAGGGACAGAGAAATAACCCCACTGAGAGCCTGACACTGGGCTTCCTGGGCATGCTGCCACCCGGTGAGGGAGGAATCCCCAGCCCATCCGAGAGAGGGGAAGCCGGCAGGGACAGAGCAGGGCCGCCTCTCCTCCCCCACCAGCCGGGGCCTCCCCTGCAGCACTGGGAGATTGATGGGGAGCTGCACAGCATGACCCTTTCCTGTAACATTTGCGCCCCTAAGGGATGGGCGTTCCGTGGTGGGCTTCAGGCACCAGGTGGCACCTGGTAGCTGTGGGGAGAGGCTCCAGGTTTGAGCCAAGGAGTTCAGTAAACCCCACCTCTTTAGGCTGGCAGGGGCAGAGCTGGGGGCCAGAGGTGACAAGGCTTGTTTATGGGATTTGAGTTTCTGCTGAAGGATAATCACTGTCAGGCCTTCCCAGCTGGAACCGGAGCAGGCGCAGGGCCAGGACCTGCCACCCCCTGGGCAGGTATAAGAGCCAGGGAGGAGGGCTGGGGCCCAGCTGGGGCAGAGGTACCAGCTGCCTGCTGGGAGACCAGGGTTCAGAGCTAAATCTGCTTTGTTCAGACCACCAGGTGGACAGGGTCAGTTCTGGAAGTGGCCCCTTCTCTGTGGGATCCAGGAGATACACTAAGGGAGCCATCAGGCTGCATAGGCTGGAGAGGCTAGAGGAGGTCACCAGAAGCTGAGACCCGGCAAGGTGAGTACATTCTGTACGGTTCCTGCCTTTCCCCTCCCCAGTGAGCTACTCAGCCTGTGAGTGACCGAGTGACTGTCTGTTTCAGAGGTGTAGAGACTGAGTGGCCGTTTGTCAGGGACTTGAGCCCTGAATCTCTCAGAGGGGCAGTGTGAGAGGATAGCAATCAGCATTGTCATTTATCCAGCTCTCACCAAACACCAGGTACTGTGGGTTATCTCACTGAACTAAGAACAGAAGGATGGGGGCCTGGCTCAGCACCCTAGTTCCTCAGGCATTATATTCCTTAACTCTTATAATAGCCCAATCAGATAGATAGGTATTAGTATTTTTACAGAAAAGGAGACTGAAACACAGAGATGTTAAGTAACTTGCCCAAGGTCACACAGCAAGTAAATGGCAAAACTAGGATTTCAACTCCCTGACTCCAGAGCCTGTGCTCTGAACCACCATGTTACACTCTCATGTGGTTGAGGTCAGTCCCTTCTGTTTTCTGAGTGGTAGTCTCCTTATTTGTAATTTAAGGGTGTGAGACATGATGATCAGAAAGATATTATCCTGAAATTCCCTAAAGGTACCTGAACATGAGTCAGCTGGGAAGTCTTGTTTAAAACATTTATGAAGAATGTGTGAATGAAAATAGAAAAAAAGAATGTGTGAATGCCTTTGAGCCATTATTCAATTTTTGAAATTCATCATAAAAGATATCAGATTTATGAACAAGGAAGCTCATTACATGTTATTTATAATCACAGAAAATTAGAAGCAAACAAAATGTCAAACATTTTGAGAAATAAATGATGTACATCCTATGATGAAATCATATGCAGCCATTAAAAATCATGGGTTCAAAAGGTACTGAATGTAATTGGAAATTTTTCATTTGTTAAGTGGAAAAAGCACTATATGTGGTATGATCTATTTACAAATGTGTGTATACACATATATGTGAAATAAATATAAAAGGCGGGAAAACTCTTTAGGGGTTGAAAGTTTATCTTTGAGAGATGGAATTATGACTATCTTTATATTTTTCTTTATTCTTTTCTAGATTCCTCAAATTTTCTATAGTAAACATGTATTGCTTTTTAATTAGAAGAATGAAGTTTGTTTTTATTTTATTTTTTTTAAAGGTCTACCCTTTGGTGTAGCTTGGCCCCTTTCAAGTTGATGTCATAGCAGCTTTGAGAGGAAACTGAATTGCAGGCCATCAGTACTGTGATGGCCTCTGATCCAGCCCGACATGTTACATGTGGGGAAACTGAGGCCCAAGGACTTATGCAAGGTCATACAGGGAGTTAGAGGCCCCAGACCCCTGGTCTGGGGGTTCAGGCAGCTGCCTAAAGGCCACAGTGCATAGGCCAGGCTGCCAGAAGGGCAAGGAGGTGGGAGGAATCACAACTAGAATTTACGGCTAACATGTGTTACAACTGCGGCTTTGAATGCCGAGTATAGCTGACCTCAGACGCACCCAGTGACAAGCTGGCCTGGGAGTGACAGGTGAGAGGGAGCAAAGGGCAGCGGGATGGGCATGGAGCCAGCCGGGTGTGCCCCAGGCCTCTCCCTCTCATCTCTAGGCCTCACCCACTGGTGCTTCCTCCCCTGGCAGGGCTGAGAGCCGGGCTCTGACAGGAGGATGAAAGGTCTCCGCTGGCGTTACACTCGGCTGGTAAGGGGCCCAGCTTGGGCTGGGGGGCGGTCAGGAAAGGCAGGGGGAGGTGACATCTCTGGCAGGGTGGGGCCTGGGCCAGGGTCGGATTCAGGTGGGGGTCCCCCTTCTAAGCCCCTCCCCAGCTGGCCCAGGGTTCAAAGCAAGGACACAGGAACCTGCCGCCTTAGTGCTCAGCTCCATGGTCCTGAGATCCTCAGGGAGCAGACTGCTGTCTCCATCCCTTCCTCCCTGGAGTGGGTGTCAGATGGGGCTCTGTCCAGAAGCCCGTACAGCTAGGACCCCCTCCTTAGGCCTGAACCTGGGAAACAGGAGAGCAGTGTCCTGTCCACCCCTTCAATCTCAAGGAAGTCTCTCCTTATGAAAAGCCCTGAGGTCATCGTGTGCAGGCGTGTGTGTGCTCACACACACATACCCACACACACTCAAGCACACACTCTGGTACAGAGTGGAAGCTCAGTGGGGAGAATGAATGAATGAATGAATACATCACCCTCCCTGCCCAACATCCGTGCCCACTGACACATATTTACACGATCCCAACTCACACTCACAAACACATTGATAGGTAATACACAAAGCTGCATTCAACACCTGCTCACACTCATTTGCCTCCACAACTCTGTCTTAAGCAACACACAGATTCACACAGATGAATGCGTACTTTACACAAACCTGCCCGTTGTCTCACCTGTGACCACGCATCGTTTCACCGGCTGACAGGGAAGCCTCTGGGCCTTGTTTTCTTCCTCTGTGAAATGAGGATAATGAGCACATTCTTCTCAGGATTCTTGGGAAAATTCAGAGAGCTCACGCACAGCAAGCATTTCACACAGGTCTGTATGATGTGTGCTGTATATTATTCATTATTATCACTATCATCGTTATTTCATGTGCAAATGCACACAGTTGCGGCTCCCAGGGCTGGGCTGCCACCTGCCCTTCTCTCCTGCCCCCTAGTTTAGCACTCAATCCCTGACACCCACTCTGGATCTAGAGCAGACAGGCAAACAAACCGCGGGGCCCTCAGCCACATCCGATGGGCGTGGCTGGCAGGAGCCCTAGAGGGAGCCAGCTGGAGGCAGGGGCAGGGGCTGGTCTGTCATGGCCGCTTCCCAGGCTCCCTGGGCTGGGCTGGCGGTTGCAGGGGCCTGGGCAGGGGTGATGAGGCCGCTGAGGCTCTCAGGCTGTGGAGATGTGGAAACTGGTGTCTCCCTGTCCCTGGACTCACCAGGCATCTTTGTGTCTTCACAGCCCAGCCAGGTGGAGGATGCTCTGTCCGGGGAGGAGGGTAAGGAAGAGAAAGGGGAAGAGGAGAAGGAGGAGGAGGCAGCCTCAGCCCCAGCTCCTGTTCCTGAAGATCCCGTGGAGCCCCAGCTGGCAGGAGCCAGTCAGGTCCTGGGAGCCTCGGAGATTAGGCAGGTTCGGGCACAGATCATGGCACAAGGACTTCAGCCCTGAGCCTAAGGGTCCCACCCTCCTGCCCTACCCTGGCCAGGTCCAAGGACACCTGGGCCATTCCTGCTCTGTCTTAAGCTCACTGTGTCACCTCGGGTGAATCATTTCTCCCCTCTGGGCTTTCTTTCCTTGTAAAATGATCCAGTGATACTAGCACAACCATCTTCACTGGGCCAGGAGTTTAAGGATATAGTGAAATAATCTTATTCTTTAGTAGAACCAGTCCTTGGCAACCGATGTCAAAGCTGGGGTGGGGGTGGGAGGATGAGGTGTGGGGATCAGGAAGAGGGATTCAGCATCTCATCTGTTCTCTGGCTGCTAGAGGCCGAGGTGAACCCCCTGACCTGGGTTCAAATTCTGGCTCTGCCGCATACTCCCCAGTGGGCTTTAGACAAGTTGCTTCAACATCCCTGAGCCTCAGTTTCCTTATCTGTAAAATGGGAATAATAATCTCTCTCTGAGGGCTACTGCTAACAGATGTGCAAGTCCCCTGTGAACAGTAAGCTACTCTGTAAAGCACCATGCCTGTGAGTGGCGGCTGTTTAACCTCAGTCCTTCTGGGACCCCAAGGATATGAAGCAAGGAGTGGGGAGGACCAGGAGCCCTCACTCACCTCCAGCCCTGTCCCCAGCTCAGCCTTCACCTCCCCCCGAGGCTCACTGGACGCTCCTGGAGCCTGGCCTTCTGCACGTCGAGGGATGGCTTCAGTCTGCGGAGCCTGTACAGGCAGATGGAGGGCCACAGTGGGCCAGCGCTGCTGGTGCTCAGGGACCAGGATGGGCAGGTGAGCCATGCCAGGGAGGGTTAATGGAATGGTGAATGCTGATGGGCCTCTCAGAGCCTCTCCATGCCCCAGCTCTGCCCCACACTCCCCAAGCACGTCTCTAGGACAAGCCTACATTACCACGTCTGGAGCGCAGGGTTGCCAGAGGACCTCCAACTCCCTTCCAGCTGCAAACTGCAAGCTCTTCTGCTTTCTAGATGTTTGGGGCCTTCTCCTCCTCGGCCATTCGACTCAGCAAAGGCTTCTATGGTACTGGCGAGACATTCCTCTTCTCCTTCTATCCACAGCTGAAGGTGATGTTCTTAACCTTCCAGGTCGGGAGTGGGATCCATGGCAGGACAAAGAACCCAGGGTCTCAGTGGCCCCCAGCTCCAACCCCTGTGCTGGGTGCCTGGGGTCCTCCCATCCTTCTGCAGACAGAGTGCAGCCGGACAGTGGGAGGCAGAGCATCCCCCTTGGCCTCAGTCCCTGGCAACCAGTGACTGGCTTGAGAGGAAGTTTGTCAGTGCCAACTGTTGAATTCAAAGGCCATTTAGTTTGGTGTGTGCTTTTCTCTAGCAATATTCAGCATCGCAGATTCAGGCACAGGGAGGGTTCATCCACTACTAGGGTTTTGCCGAGCTGATTTAACAAAGAGAGGGAAAAGGAAGTTGAAGGGACTAGAAATACAAAATAGAGGAAGCAGTAGTTCCAGGTGCCTTGGTTTGCTCTTAGAGACCTTCTCCCCAATGCACAGAGCAAGACACCTACAGATACATCCAGCAACACAGTCACCTGGTCACATGACAAGGCAGTCACAAGGAGCTTGGACTGACTGCCTTGCTAAAGACAAAACACACCGTATCTACTCCATCAGCCAGTCTGGTAATCTTATCAGAAAAGAGGAAAGGGGTCCATTGTTTACAGTAAACCCATGCTGGATACTGGTCATCACCACTGGCCTTGCAGGGTTCTAAAGGTCTACAATCTTCCCCAGGGCAGTAGTGCTGACAGCTCCTTGGCAGAATTCTCTGCTGGTTCCTCCTCATCTCTCCAACTTTTTACCTTCAGAGGGTCCTAGAGCTCAGTTTTTGGTTCTCATCTCTTCTCTGACTGCCCACTTTTCCTTTGATGTCTCATCCATCCTTACAGCTTTCCACGCCATCCACGTGCTGATGGCCTCTTCCTCTGGAGTCTGGACTCACACACACCCCATCACTACCCAGCGTCTCCATCTGGATCTCAGACATGGCATGGGGAGCCTCACATGTTCAAAGCTGCACTCCTGATTTCCACCCCCCGAAAATCAGTACCTCCTGCCACCTTCCCTGACAAAGCTAATGGAACTTCTGTCTTTCTGGCCCTCGAGACCAAACATTTTGGAAACTTTCTTAGCTCCTCTTTCACACCCTACATCTGAGCTGTCGAGGAATCCTGATGGCTCCTCCTTTTTCTGTCTCTATCCAGAATCCACCACTTCCCACCTTTGCTGTCACCCTAGTTCAAGCCACCATTATTACTTGCCTGTGTTCTGCTACAGCCTCCTAACATTTCCACCTTCAGTCATCACAGTATCTGAAGTGATCCTTTTAAAAGGTAAGTCAGACCACATCACTCCTTGGCTTCAAGCTGCCAGTGGCTTTTTTCTCCCTCAGAGAAAAATCAAAGCCTTTACAATAACCTACAAGTCCCTATGCCTTCTGGCCTCTTTCTGATGTCATTTCTTGCTACTTTCCCTTTCCCTCACTCTGCTGTAGCCACACTGACCTCTGAACTGGCCCTTAAACATGAAGGCCTATTTCTACCTCAGGGCCTTTGCACACACTGTTCTGTCTTGTGTGCTCTCCGTGGGACCTCCATGTGGATCAGTTCTCACTTCCTTCAGGACTCAGACGTCACTCTCTCAGCAGGGCCCTCCCTTTAAATTTACAACACTCCAGCCCCTGGAAACCCTTATCACCTTTCTCTGTATTTTTCTCCTTTGCAGTTGTCACCACCTAACATACTATTTGTTTTACTTACCTGCCTCCTGCTACTAGAATGCGAGTCCCATGAGGCAGGAATTTTTGTCTGTGATGTTCACTGTTCTAAACAGACACCTAAAACAGTGTCTGGTACTAAATGCTAAAAAATAAAAAATTAGAAAAAATTCTTGAATGGAAGAAATAATTTTTTCAGGGGATCACTATAGTCTTCCCATGCTGTTGTTACAGAATCTCATCTTTTCAAAAAATTAATAAAAAGTTTTTGTCTATCTTTGGTCTTCTGGCACCTCTTGTATTCTTCATGAATTCCCAGCAGTTCCTTGACCACTATTCCAAGAAGCACCATGACCATGGTCTTAATTTTCTTCTGTAACAATATTTATCTTCCTTTTTTCCACTTTGAAGGTCATGTTCCTTGAGGAAACTAGAGGAGTTGAATGTTTCTCTCTTCTCCTGGCCACTTGTTAATATTATCTCATCTCTTCTGAGCCAGGGCTTATCTTTCTTTTATTCTTCCATCTTCTTGCTAAAAACATTTTGGTTGCTCAGAGCATTTTTTTTGCAACTGATTTACAGGTAATAATATGCCATACTTGTGCAGCCCTTTAAAAATCTTTCTATTAGCTAAGTTGACTCTAGAATAATTTGTTCATTCAACAAACATCTATACCGTGTCTTGGGAATACTGCCAGAATAAAGATGCTTACATGTTAGCAGGGCAGGCAATGGCACGTTGGCACATGAACGGGGCCTGGGAGGAAGGGCTACGTTAGAGAGCATGGTCCAGGAAATTTCTCTGGGATGACATTTGGGCTGAAAGATGGGAAGTGGGCCATCTGAAGATTGAGGGGGAAAGCATTCCAGGCAGAGGGATGAGCACACATGAGGGTCCTAAAGTAATAACAGCTTTGAGTATCCTCTGGTCAAGGGTCAGTATAGCTGAAGTGCAGTCAGCAAAGGGGAGAAAAGGCAGGAGAGGAAATCAGGGGCAGAGCAGGCTGGGCTTTCGGCTATTGTCAGGAGTCAGATTTTAGTCCTATTGCCAGGGGAAGCCATTGGAGGGCTTTAGCAGAGTTGGACTAATATCTGATTAGATTCTGAATAGATCACTCAGACTGCAGTGCAGAGATGGGCTGTGGGCAGGAGACAGTGGAAGCAGAGACCCATTAGGAGGCTGTGATCCAGGGAGGAAAGACTGGTTGGGATGGATGGGACAGATACGGTGGAGGCGGGGGGGTCTCGTTGGGGTGAGTCTCACAGGCTTGCTGAGGAACTGGGTGTGAGGCAGCCCTGGAGGGAGAGCAGGCTTGGTGTTACTCCAGTGAGATGAGGAAACAGTTAATAGTAGAATCAGGGCCCAACTCCTGACCTCAACTTTCCCCCTCCCCTCTCCAGCTTTGGAAGCAGGAAACCTCAGAGGGTTCTGGTCTATTCCTAGAACAGAGGGGCTTTGGGGCTGTGGGAATTCAGACTGGAGGGCAAGAGGAGGTGAACTCCAGGGAGACTAGAAAGACATTGCAAGAAGCAGGAGCCAAGAGTACTTCCTGCAGCTTATTTGGGGCCTGGATGTTCTGTTCCCTCCACAACACTGCCACCCAGTGGTGTAAAGTCTAACAGCAAGGGCAGGACTCAGTAACCGGAGGCTCTCTTGTCTTCATGGGTCTTTGTTTTTGAATTAAAAATTTTTTTTTTCTTTTTCTCATCACAGGTCTTTAAGTGGACAGGAAGGAACTCCTTCTTTGTGAAAGGAGACTTGGATTCACTGATGATGGGCTGTGACAGGTGCGTGTCTCAGTCCTCAAGTTTGGAGTCTCAGAGTGCTCTGTGCTCTGGTCCCTTTTCCTATCTGGAAAGGCTGGGCTAGGCTGCCCCAGACAAACTGGGGAGGCTGCTGGTAAACCTTGAAGATTATCCCTTCAACACCCCACTGGGGTGCTTCCCAGTCCCCCAGCCAACCCCCTCAACTTCACTCTAAGTCAAAATCAGGAGGAGAGGATGGTGTGAGCTCTCCCCTAGTGTTCAGTTGGTGACAGATTAGTCTGAATTTTTGTAGCTTTGGGAATAGCATTTCCCATGGTTGGACGAGGCTAGAGTTAAGGAATAAGCAAACCTCAAATTTACCTGTCAGCCCCGTAATCCTAGGGAACATCTCAGTGGAGGCAGGGAGGCACCTGTCCAGGCACTCATTGTGTGTGTGTTGGGGTCGGGAGGTGGGGTGGGTTAGGAAGACAAGGTTAGTTTCACCCCTGGTGTGACCTGCACATTCAGGCAGAATAAATCTTATCCTGAGGGCAGAGATGAAAGCATTGTTTGACTAGCACCAAGCAAATTCTCTGCTCTCCCAACTGCCTGAAAAGCCTCCACTGAGAGGCAGCCTGGCACAGAACGCAGCAGCCATTGCTGATCTGCAGTAACCCAGGTCCCAGCTCGTCTAGGTCTGCTGTCAAACGTGGGGATTAGAGTGGATGCTCTCTGACGTATTTTGTGCTCAGAGTCCATGCTGGTGAGAGTCACTCCTTTGGTTAAGCGTCGTCATCTTAAAACGTCCCAAATGTTCTAAAGCTGGCTTGTGGGGATGGTTGTACCACTCCATCTATCAAAATCGTTGAACTGTAAAAAGAAAAATGCTCCAAACCCTGTGGGGAACAACATGTGAGTCTGTAACAGTTCAGGATAAATTGATTTAAGGGGAGATCAAACCAAGAAAAAATTGGTCATGGTGTGGCCAAGGGCTGCTGGTTCAGATCTCAAAGGTCTCAACACCCAGCAGTGAGCCATGCCGACTTCCCTCTTCTCTTTAGTGGCCACTTTGGGCTGTGGTTGGATGGAGACTTGTATCACGGGGTCAGCCACCCCTGTGCGACCTTCAACAATGAGGTGCTGGCCCGGCAGGAGCAGTTCTGCATCAAGGAGCTGGAGGCCTGGGTTCTGAGCTGATGTCCCCGGGGAGGGCAGCTTCCTGAGGCTTGGATCTGCCCATGGATGCCACCTCCCTCTCACAGGGCAGCTTATTCTGTCCCAAACGCAGACGGCGAAGTGTCTTAGTGCTGACTGTGGTTGTGAGCCAGCCTCTCATTGCCTGAGGACCAAGACAGGCATGGGAACAGGCAATGTTCTCCTGGAGAGGGGACTTTGAAGGAGTCCAAGAAAAGACATGCACACCTTACCTGAGCAGCACAAAGTGCCTCCTGAAAACGATCTTTTTAGAAACTATACAACTAATACATGTTTATTATAGAAAAACAGAAGATATAAAAAATAGAAATTGCCTAAAATTCAACCACTCCCCGAAACACTAACAGCTTCATGCACACTCTTCCGGACAATCTTCCAAGGAGATGCATGTCTACATCTTACGAGATTCTACTCTATGTGTTTTGGAAATTATTTTAACTTTAAATACTGTCAAACCTTGGACATCTGGACTCAACCACTGAAATAAAGAAAGACTCCAGTGGCATCCTTCTTTTCCTAGAACACTGAGGGCTTTCTGCCTGCCACCTTTGTGCTGGGTGCCTACAAATCTCTTATTTAATTCCATGAGGAAACTATGAAAGCAGCAAATGAACAAAACGCATATTTGGATGAAGCTGAAATTCTGTAGATGGGAACCTCATGTAGGTTAAAAAGGAGGAAGGATATGTTCTCAGAACTCAGAGCTCAGAACTCGCCCCCCCCCCAATCCATATCCCTTCCCATGTTAGTGCCTGTCTCCTGCCAGAAGAAGATTCTTTATTACGTCATTATTTGCCATTATTGAATGAGGAAAACCAAGTAATGGAGGTCCTGTTAATACCATCCCCTCACGTGCAGGCCCAACACAAGGTATAAAGAAATATCTGGCACATTCTTAGACAAAACACAGTTCCTTTGCACAAAGGCGTCAAAACTGAGCACCCAAGTGTGAGAGAAAGTCATCAAGAAGACACGGTTTCAGGATGGAGATACATTCATGAAGCTTTATTGCAGCTGTTTCCCTCACCCAGATGAAGTGACCAGTCTCTCTGACCTGCAATTCAATTTACATTCTCAGGGTGACAATGCTCAGTAACTCTAGAGGCCAAGCTGTTGTAAGTCTCCATTTTTCATACAAATAGTGAAGACTTCCTCAAGAAAAACTTAACCTTGTAAATGGCACGTGGTTCCCATAATTAAAACAGTTGCAAAGAGCATAAAGTGCAGCTGCCTTATATGTAACAAAAAATGCAAACAAAACAGATTCAAGTTGTTTCTCAGATAGCATAATGATACAATTGAGACCAAAACATTCCACAGTAAAATACAATGATTTAAAAGTAGGAGTTACAAAAATAAAACAATCTTAGCAGAGAAACATTACATTCTTGACCTTCGGTCTGAGATGGATAATTCTCCCTATTGAAAGTTTAAGGGGTACCTTGACCAAAACAGATATGACCAGTACCATGGACCACTCTCCTTGTGCTTCTGTGAGACCACATGTGACCACACACCCACCACACAGCATTGCGGTGGGAGAGGAGAAGGGTTTTAACTATTCTATGAATTAGGGGTCAACTCTTGATTATCTACTGAGGGATGAGGGAGGGGTGATAGGGCAGGACGGCAGACATTCCAAACACATGTTACCCTAGTGTCAACAGAACCTGGTTGCACAGTGGAAGGTGGCAGCACTCCTGAGACTCTGTGGATAATCAGCTGGCCTGTGGTCTGAGTTCCTCTCTCCCTCCCTCTTGTTCCTGCCCAGAGCCAGGGCTGGCCCCCTGACTCCCAGCCTGCCAGGGAAGCTTTTGTAAGGGAGTGTAGAAGCATAAGATGTTAGGGGCTCATGACTACACTCCCCACTGCCTTGCATCTGGCAGCCATCGGCTTTGGGTCTAACTCTAGACTTTGTTCTTGGTGAATTTCTGTAGCCCTGGGGACGGATGGGTTGGGACGGTGCCCTCAGCTCAGAAGCACCGCTCAACTACAGCAGTACTGACTCTGCTGCTGGAGGTAGAGATACAAAGGGGAATCTGGAATTCACCAGGCAATTGCTTCATCTCAGCACAGGCAGCTCAGTGCTTGCTCTGAAACCCACAACATGCACTGAACTGGCAAAAACCAAGTCCCAGCTCTGAGGAGCCCTGAGGATGGTTCCTGTGGTGACCTCTGATCAGCACCCAAGTGAGATGCAGAAGGCAGGTGGAAGGGGACCTGCCTTCTCCAGGCAGAGCCATGGTAAAACTGTCATGGCTTGGGCAGTAAGTACTCAGGAGAGAAAGAAACCAGCACAGGCTGGAGCCACAACCGACCCAGAGGGCAGCCTGGTTTGGGGGCTCCCTCTGCGCTGGGGCTAAGGGTCTCCTATCAGGTAGTTTTATGTCCCACTTCAGAGGAGGCCAGAGCCCTCAGATCTTCTCAACAGATCAATCAGGCCTTTCACTGAAGGGCTGGAGCCCACTCCTGGCCCTCATCTGCTGATCACCCCAACCTGGCAGCTTACAGGGGGCCAAGCGGGTGAGGGAAGGTGCCTTTCACCAATGCTCCGATTTCTCGGGGAGAGCTGCCCTCAAACTCTGGGTGCTGGGCACCTCCTCAAGGGGCTAGGATTTTACATTTTGCTTTTAGCCACAGCTGTTCATGACAATCCCAACTGCGAATTCCAGTGTGCACCTTTGTCATAATATATCCAATTTTTTTAAAAAAACAATCGTATGTCATAAGAGTTCAGAATACATAAGAGAGCTGTTATTCTAAGAAAATAGGCTGCTAAAGAGGAAAGGCTTTGATTAATATTAAAAAATAGGCAAGGCAGTGCCTTCCATAGCTCATGTAACAAGATTTGCCTAATACCTGTTACTGTGAATAAAAATGACTTCGCCTGTGCGTACATTCATAATGTGAAATAAAAAGCACGAATTGTCACTAAATTTGTAGAGCTCCGTGATTTGAACTCCCTAAATTAATTGCGTTGGGGAACAGGGGAGAGGCTTTTTGTAAACACCTGATGGCAGACATTCACATCGAGTTGTCCGCAAAAAGCTGGTCTCCGGATTTGCATACAACTTGGATGCGAGCTGGACTCTGGGCTGAGTCTGTGCAATTCCACTCCGTTTTTAGAGGTGTTATGAGTGGGGCTACAACATCACCATCCTGTCAAAGAGAGGAAAGCTAAGAGCAGAGAAGAGCCAGTTTTCATGACTTTGAGCAAACATCTCAGGCACATGTATCCTTGCCCTGCAGACAGATGGCTTCTAGACAGACTGACTCCTGGGAAACTCCAGATTATATACACGCTCCGTGCATGGGCCAAATGAGGACCACCACACTCCTAAGAAGGAAAGGGCCTTCAGAGTAAAAACCACCAGACCTGTTCTTTTCAAAGATGGTCAGAAACGGCACACTGCCCGGTTCTATTACCCTCTCCCTTTGCACACCTTCATGGAACACGCTCTGTCCTGCATTGCCAGGAGGAAGAGGGGCTGCGCTGGACCCTTGCTCCTCTCTTTCCTAGCCCCGCTCCCATAAAAGATGGCCCAGGTCTACAAGATGGTAAAACGAGGGAAGGATTGAGTGTACCTGCAGAACTTGAACTTTGCTCTGTAATCAAAGCCATAACTTTGGCCTCATCCACACAGACTCCGCTTAAAACAACAGATGGCCTCAAAGTGAAGTGACACTACGACTTGAAAGCAAAGAGTGTAAGAGGCGAGCCCACTAACATCTGACTCTATTCTGAACCGTTCTTGAACTTGTGGGTAGATTGTCTTAATTTATATAAGGGCACAGGATCTGTGTTTACTGCACAAGGAAGAGAATGCTGGTGACAGGTTATTGTGCCCCATGTTTGCCTGTTTGCTCTCAGATCCACTCCGCCCTCCTTTGCTCTGCTCTGTGTAACAGGAGCTGCTCTGCTGAATTACGCTTCCCGGCTCCTATGCCTAGTGGCTTCCAGGCGGGTTTGGCCAACGGGAGGCATGGGTGAGAAAGTGGAAGAGATGAGGGTGAAAAGCCAGGGTGTTTCTCCTCTCGCCCCTCTGGTCAGGTAGCAGTGGCTGTGGCTCTGCTGTGGTTCTAGCTTGCAGGTGGCCCAGGACCTGGCTGCCATTTCCTACCTGGAAGGGACAGCAGCTCCCTGCAGTTGTCCCCCTGTCCTCTGTTAGCTCATTCAGCTCTGCTAAAGCTTTTGTATCTCGTGCCCCGTATTTCATTTCTTCTGTTGAACTACATTAGACCTGACTTGCTAGAGCTATTATTAAAAGCAGCCATTCAATTGCCATGTACTCGTATTTGGAAGACCCATCCATCTCAAAGTCAGCATTATTTGTCTTCAGAGTCGTCTCTGTTTTTACCACATCCTTATTCCTACCCATTCTAATTTCAACTCTAGTGAATTTTATAAATGCCAACTTGAAAATGTCATTCTTTGCTTAAAATACTCCCATGGCTCCTGGTGCTCTTGGCTTATGGGACTGTGCACAATGCCCCAGATCCCTCGCCTAAATGCATCTCGTTCTCTCTCATTTTCTGACCTCCCCTCCAACACCCTTTACCCAGCTAACTCCTCACCCATCCTTCAGGTCTCAGCTTCCAAGTCCTTCTTTAAATAAGCCAACCAAGCCTGGCTTAAATCGTTCTCCTTATTGCTCCCCTAAGATTGTTCACGCCGCCCCTCACCCTAAAGCACTTACCACGTCCCTGTAACTGTTATTTACTCGTGTCTGTTATCCCCAACTAGAGCGAGACCCGTGGGAAACGCCTGTCTCAGGCACAGTTCAGCCACATGGCTGAACTTAACAGCTTCTTGATTCTCTGCTTCCAGTGTCTCCACATTCCTCCTTCACTGGGAGCTAGTGTACCTGAGACAGACAGGCCTCCTTACTCCCACAAGTCTCACTCTAGCCGGAGACAAAAACACAGATGTAGATAATCACAGCAGCATGGTAAGTCTCGAATACAGTCGACGATTCCACTCTTACTGTACATAAGAAAAACTTCCTTAGCTGCTCAGCCAAGGTTCTCTGTAATCGAATCTTCTCTTCCTGTTTCAGCTCTCATCTCAGCAGTAAGACTTTCTTCCTCCAGTCAGACAGGTCTCCTCACGGCCCCCAAACACACTCAACTTGTTCCAGTTTCATTTCGTGTTGCCTTTCTCTCTGCTACTCACCCAAGCACAGTCCAGCCTTCTGGATCGAGTAGAGTCCTCCCTCCTCACAAGGCTTATCCGACCACTCTCCCAGCTCTCTGAGCCCTAACAGAGCTCCCCTGCACCCCTCCCTCTGGCACTCAACAAAGATCCGATGTACTGGGCTACTCTTCCATGTCTGACCATTCCCTTTCATTTCCTTCACCACCCAACGCACGAAGGGAAGAAAGCAGTTTGTGAGAGAGTGAGTACCAGACTAGGAGGTAGAGCACGGTTTCCCACCTGCTGGACAGTCAGACTCAATTCTGTGGACCGATATCGGTGGGTCATGGCACCCACCTTGTGCTAGTCAATAAGGGACCGTTTCAAC